GGTTCAGCAACAGTGGCTTCGCCATAGATGACATATAGGAATAGACCTAACATGCAATGTAATTTTCTGTTCCATGCTTCGAGGGCGTTAGAAGCTCCCTTACCATTTCAGTGTCAATACCCAACGTTACCGATTCAGTGTGAAAATATATCACCACTCTTGTGGCCAGAAGTAAAACTGAATAACTTATGTGCCATAAATATGTGTCAGTGACTTCAGCGCGGGAAGGTAGCAGAGCTAGAGAGGTTAGTAGAAGGTCACAATTTGTTTAACCATTTGTTTTGTTCACAATGGTCTTTCAAGAGTCTTGTACATATTGCCTTTCGTATGTGTTGTATATAGTCTTTTCGCGTTTTCCAATTTTTATATTGAATATTGTCAGAATTCGTAGAGCATGGAACGTCAGACCAATAAAACACATTTTAAGAAATGTTCATATTATAATTACGGTTTAATAAACCATAATGTAACATACGCAATTATTTCTGTAATTATTGAATATGCGAATAAATGTTTCATATGGACGTTGTTTGATTTCATGGAATAAACTTAGTACAATATTTGAATTTTTTTTAATTGTTATTTACAGAGACTTCAATAATAATGTAACTTTTTTAAAGGAACTACATATGTTTAGTATTATCATGTTATTGAGCATTTCAATTCAAATTCAACGACATATTTGAAAGTTTTGTTTGAGTAATAATTTTTCGGATAACTGTACGAATGTTGCTGGCAAATGTCAAGTTCGGATAGCATCTTTTTTCTTCTTTCATACAGTTATCCGAGAAATTATTACTCAAACACAACTTCCAAATGTGTCTTTGAATTCATCTTAAAATCGTTCATAACACGACATTAATAAAAATACATAGTTCCGTTTAAAAACATTATATTGTTATTCAAATTTCTGTAAATAACAATAATAAAATTCAAACATTGCATTAAGTTTGCTCCATTAAATAAAACAACTTTTATATAAAACCTTTTTCATATTCGTAATAGTTAGATTAATATAATAGCATGTATACATTTATACCGGGCCTTCTTGTATACATATATGTATACATATGTCAAACTGCCGTTCAGGTCGTGCGAGAAAAGTAGAACCATCTCCCTTGCTAGCGAAACCGGGGCAATAATGTATCTGTGTATCGCTATATGCAGTCACGGGTGAGAGCACTGTGCGTCATCATGGTGTCCAACGTAGTTCCTAAAGTCGGAAACTTTTATGTAGAGTGCGCGCGAACCAGTGAGATTTTCGTGGGACAGCAAGTCCCATAAGATGTTAGGTCTATTCTTATATCTCGTCTGTGGCTTCGCGTAGCAGATACACAACCCCAACTTGATGGTAGCGGGGAAGAAAATTTATTTGTAGGTACTGTCGTTAGATGTCGTATTATCAAGCCGTCTCAATTATCGATTCTGTGTTTTCGCTAGCGTCCGATTGTTTATACAGCGCTTCAATCGATTCGGAGTTGGCCCCAAAGGAGTCTCCCCCTTAATGCATAATTAAAGAATTAATCACATCATGTTATTACATCTGCTCTGATTAATTCTCTATCCTCAGTATTTTTTGTACTGGGTATTTTGGTGCTCCAAATCCGTTCATTGTAATTTAGATATGCGCATATGGTAGAAACGTATAAAGTTCGCTCCTTATTTAATTATTTTATAGGAGCTTCATAACGGTAATAAAAAATAAGTGACTTTCTAAAGACAATTTATGCAATGTTCACGCAATTACTAGCCAGTCTATTTTTCATAAATAGTAAATGTATAATAAAAATGGAAAAAAAAAATTTGTCAGTGTTCCTTATGTCGTGACTTTGGAATATTGTTTCGTAATTTGGTTGTCTACTTTCACGCGTGCACACACCTGTTTCTGACATCTACAATTGGCGGTTGCTGTTGACTCTGCGTCAGTCTCTGCTGTATTTCAAAGTTCTCCAAATTTTTATCATTGCCGTCTACCTGACACCCAAACCGACTGAATTCTTTCTGACCGTGCCTTGCGAAGATATGCATAGTGCTCAAGGAACCGTGTCCAAGACCCCTCGGTATGTCTGGTGTGATGCTGCGCGGTGGTTCGACATCCTTCAGTGGTCTCCTGGATGGCAGTGTATAAAACTGTTGATTGGCATGCTTTCCCCATGACCGGTATTGTAGATTTTTTGTGTTGTGCATGTTAACTGACAGATGCTGATACTCGTTACAATTTTCTACACTACTTTCTTCAAAGAATTGGTTAGGATTGCAAATATTCTGTTGAGAATCATATATTCTCCGTATCTGTTGATGCCTGTGATCACCATTATTATGTTGCTCCTGACACTGTGTTTGTATTGTCTGAGTAGGCTGAGCATCCTTGAGGACTTCTTGGATCTTCTGATACTTTTGACATTCTTCGGAATTGGGCGGTGAAATGTATGGAGACGGGTCGATTATTCCGTGAGGAATATTAGGAGTATTATCTGCAGCAAAAAGATCAGTGGTAACCCGTATCAGTATTTAATAACAAGTAATGACATTTTTTGTTTCATTACAATCAGTCAGCTAACTCTTTACACGAAAAATATTACTGGCTCTAACAAGGACAGGCTCAAGTCCGTCCTACCCTTATTTTAATGAGTTTGTGGAGGGTTGTACGTACACATGTATGAAAAATATTGGTTGAATATTAGCCGCAGATGGCCATCTATTTTTGAGAAACAGGGGATAGAATTTGGGAAAACTGCCTCTGGAATTAAGTAGCAGGGAGCGCCACTGTTTGTCAACAGCGCCGTTGGCGGAGCAGCAGCGTACTGGACTACCATTTTTTTAACCAGAATTCGTATCCCAGTGAACTTATTATTTTCTGTTTCGCACATACAAGAATATTTACCTTCAATATTGTTATTATAAACACGTATATGTATTGCTATTTAAATTTAACCAAAATATTTTTCTTCTATTGTTGATACAGCAATCACCATAGTGACAACTAACGCATGAATCAAAATGAATACAATTCAAATACTATAGTAGATAAATAGATAGATAGATATAATTTATTGTTCCCCTTGGGTGTACAAGTATTTCCAAACGCTTACATACATTATAATTCTCTGGCCGTTCAACTCACTCGCTTGCACCTTGTTAATCGACTTTATTTCGTCTTTACCATTCTTTTCTTAACTCTACACATTCGCCGTTCTCTCTTACAATTTCCTTAGACTTATCTTGTCCTATCCTTTCTTACATCTCCGTATTCCTACCTATGCCACACACTGCTTTCTTTTTTTTTCTGGTCTTTCTTTTCGACTTCCTTATTACTTCACTCACTTTTAATACGTACTCTACCTTTAATTCCATTTAATCTTACTTAGTCATTAGTTTCATCGCAATTTTCATTTCATTTTTCCGTTCCCGCATCCTTTCTCCTTCACATTGACTCTTTTCCTTTACTATGCTCTTTCCCCTGCGTCGTTCTTTCTCTATTATATCCAACTCCTATCTTCATTCCTAAATCATTCATTCACTTCCTCCCATCATTCCTTTTCTTATCTCTAATTCTCTTTTTTCCTTTATGATTGGATATTTTAGTAAGTTGTATTTTACGATAAGGAGCTTCTCAGGCGTTTTCTTTTTGTGGATAAATTCGATCATTCAACGGATGGTTACTCGTACGAATGGCTCAAGGATTCGTACTTCCACTTCGTTTACTTCCAGTATTCTGGTTCTCAGCAAAGCGTACCATATTAATTTTTCATTATCTGTGTCGATGTATAATCTTCTTTCTTCTTTATTTCAAGTAACAACGAGACTTTTTCGTGTCACGCGTCCTTTCTCGTAATTTCATGTTTCTGCTGTCTCAAAATTCTTTTCTGCCTCCTCGAATTCTTCGTATATATGTTGCAGTTTCTCACAATCATTTGCGTCACAATGCATCTGCGTTTGTGTTTTCTTCCTTTCTTATATATTATTACGTAAGGTCTGTGAAGTTAGCACCCTCAAATGCAAAATTTTATGAAAAACCTACAGTATTCATTTGTCCAGCCTTCAAAAAAAAAGTTATAAACAAATAAAGAAATTTGTCACCAGTCTCGTTCACACGTTATTTGAAAAGGGAATTTGCAAATTCGTAAAAAGGAATTTACAAAAAAGTAAATGTGCATTCGTCTTTTTACGTTACACATAATTTGCCTGCATTTACGTTTCATTCATTAATCTCTTTAAATAACAAACGGCAGATGATAAAAAGTATGATTGTATTTGTTACGTCTTTTTTATTTGCTATTATACGCAGTTTCCTGCGATGCTGCTGACCTACTTGTTTGGAGCTTCGTAGTACAAGCGTAGCGCGTAGCCACCGCTAGCGCGGAAATTCTGCTGGCAAACTCGCGCTCTGATTGGTCGCGGTTTTTCGTTAATATCTCGGTAACGAAGCCTCAGATTACATTGTTGCTAAGGACAAAAGTTGTTCCAATTCACCCCCCGAGTGCCCCATTTCCGGGTCGGTGGAGATTTTTGGGACACCCTGTATAATGTTAACACATCTATGTATTAGTATTAACATATACATATTTTGTGTTTTATGTGATAGCCTAGGACTTACCATCCCCATTTCTTATTATTCGGAGTTCGTATGTTCAGATTCAAATGCTAGCAATATTATTACCAAAAGGCAAGATACTGTGTAACAAAAGATTCATTGAACTTCACGAAGTGCCTAAATGCTTACGAACAGTAATACACAGTGGGTCCAAAAAGTATTCGTACACACTTTAAAATAGAACAACTCTTTCAAAATTGAACCAAGTGACTTAAGTTTTTTTCTAAAGTTAGAATGATTAGTGTGTTAAATGATGTGTTACCAAAATGTTGAAAAAGTTGTAATTGGTCGGAATCATGAAGAAAATAGTAAAGGTTGCTTTTTGCGACTTTTTTATCTGAGATTGTAATGAAAATTTAACGAATACATTGCTTAGATTTATGTTAGTTATATGCATGCTGAAAATTTCATCGAAATCGGACATCGTTGCTATGAGATACAAACGGTTAAAAATGTTGAAAATCGCAGTTTTTCGCGACTTTGACCTACAACTGAGGTATATCTAAAGATTATTACATCTTTCGATGCCTGTTACTCGTTTTTGTATTAACCGATTTCAATAAAAGTTGCAGCATGTATATAATTGAGATACATCTTCGAAATGTATTTATTAAATTTTGATTGTAGTCTCAGATAAAAAAGTTATAAAAAACGACATTTACTATTTTCTTCGCGATTCGGACCAATTGCAACTTTTTCAACATTTTGTTAACCCATCATTTAATACACTAATCCTAACTTCACAAAGAAACTCAAGTTACTTGGTCTACTTTTGAAAGAGTTGTTCTGTTTTAAAGTGTGTACGAATACTTTTTGGGTCCACTGTATATGAATAATATTAACTGACATTAAGTCCGTCGGTTAGTTATTTCTGTATATTGACTGAAACAGAAGTAAGTTTTTTTTCTTCGACAGTTACTTTACACAAAGGATTCCAACTACCAAATTTCAGTATCATTTCTAGAACACTTTAACACAACACACTAGCAAGCTCAATATTAGGAGTTCTAGGTTGTGGACTCTTTGAAACTGTGGTGGCAAGTAAGGAATATCCTACATCTCTGTCAATCTGAAGTTCTAGATTAAAAACTGTCTCAGGATAATCCCATCAATATTTCCTAGTGCAACTCTTCTGACGGAGTTTTAGACAATTTAGACGACTTTTTCACATTATTCCAGAACTTTTTAAGAAACCTTACAGGACTGTTTGCCATTCGATAACATTCACTTCATTTTAGCTTTTGTACGACCCTGTGTTCCCTGAAATTATGAGATCTTTCCACAGATTGGTTGATTTTGTCTTCTGGGCCTTTCATAGAATCATTGTCAAAACGAGTTTCAAAAACGTTTAGGAACTCTAGAAAAAAGTCATTATCATTTAACCTACTATCGTTAATGGTGGACATTACTGTGCCTTTATCTTCGTCATCATAAAGAACCTATTCATCCATCTGATAATTCGTGTTTGTCATGCTTTTACAGGAGTTCAAAGTATCTAGATTCAAGACCAACAGTTTTCTGCTTAGTTTCGCTGTATCACCAATCGTCTTAAACTCCTCAAAGTCGATTTCTCAAAATCTGGACGCAAGCTTCTGCCTGTATGTGTTGTATATGTGTTGTAGTCTCATTGAACTGATAAACAATCAAGTAGAAAGTCCACTGCAAAATGCTCATCTGCTTTGGAGCAAACTTCTCAAAATCCAGACTCAATTCGTGTACTAATGAACGATCACCAGCGAAATCCGGAGGATGATTTTCATCCATTATTCTACCAACATATGTATGCTTTGTTAGAAGACAGCACAAGTCTGCTAGGATCTAATACTCTGTTACCCGGCCTCAGGGCTGAAACCTCGATAACATGACGCGTGCTCTTGATCGAAAGCAAAAGACATCCGGTATCTATTGTGGTTGCCTCATATTTGGTCAGACATGGTCAGTCACAGATTCGATTAGTACCTCTAATTTTCCGACGTAGCCAGTGCAATCACGTTTCGTGCTCGCGCCATAAGTCTGCTTACCTTTGTTCACCTGTACGTTTACATAAGCGCCGCGGACTTGGCGGTGAGGGGTCGGACTCGTGGGTACCACTACGGTCATCGGAGTCCTGACGTAGTCTAGACTGGCCGCACATTCAGCGCTCCTCGCTGCTCTGATGATTAGCTTGCCCAGCTGAGGCGACGTCGGTGGCGTGAACCTGTTTGGACTGTCCATTAAATCAGTGGTCCTTGAAGCTGATTGCATGGTAGGTATCGTGCGATGTAGCAGCAGCGAGGGACTCTGAGACATTTCCTCTCTCAGAAAAGGACCTAAAATTTAAATAGACACGTGACGCTATTCGTATGAGATAATTTGCAATCATTTATTAACCCTTTGATTTCAAGCACTCAGAAACGAAACGTACCAATCCTGTTCGCAGTCAAAGTGTTAATTTTCATATTGACAGAATGAAACTGCACGTTTTGGACAGATTTTGCTCTCATTTTGTGTACAGAGTGATCGGTAACAGGTGGGAGAAATTTTAAGAGATAATTCCACATGGGTAACTAAGATGAAAAAAAAATAACATAATGGCGGTCACTGCTTCATTTGGTAGTTATAAGCGTTTAAAAATCAACCTGAACCACGGCACTCCGCACATCGCAAACCTTTGTAGGACAGTGTTACCCGGAACTCTACAGTCATTATTAAAAGAAGCGACTTGCTGGTGTAACAGATTATCTACTTACCCCGTAGAAGATGTGAGAAACGTATTTCTACAACGACAAAAATGAATTCTTACTATTTCTGAAATTCTCTTTACAATTTTTTGTTTAAAAATATTAGCAGAGATGTCACTAAGGCTAATAAACAAATTAATTTTCATGAAATGCTTTTTTGAAATAAACGATTAACTTCGTTTCAAACACCTGTATTTTAGTTCAATTTTCTCGCCTACTATTCTACATAACGTTGAGAATGAACCTTTTGCCTCGGAATGCCAGTTGCCATGGCATAGAATCATCTATCCGGTAACTTAGAATGCTAGTTGCACCGGCATGAATATTCGCGAAATAATATACGGGTGCATGTCTAATAAAAATGACACGGGTTAGAGTACGGATACGTTGAATACACGTGTATCTTCAATACAAGTTCAAAACCATGCTTTGTCAAGATTCCACTTACGGAAACTGATACTTTCGTAAGACCAATACAACTAAATCTTTTGCAGCTATCAAAATTAGATTGAAACTGTATCCTATGTAGAATTAACAGACTAATTTTGCAAAGAAAAAGTTGCTTCAAGAAATATTTTTCATTATTTTTGTAAAAGAGTAGACAACTTAGAAAGCAAAAGACTAAAACACATTAAATCATATTATCAACAGTAGTAATGAATGGCGCATAAATTTCGAATGAAAAATTCAAAATACCTGGATTAAAGGTAGTGTGCGTCTTCTTTCTCCTCTTCAAACTATCAGACATGTACACAACCTTGCCGCTGGAATTCAAAGTGACTCTAGCTCCCTGTCTCTTCCTCTCCAACGAAGAGTCCGTCTGTTTTGGTAATACGCTCAGACTAACATACTCAGCATCTTTGTTAAATACATCAGAATTAGTACAGGTAACAGTGGACTTTACTGAATCCGAGGTCGAACCAGGATCCTGGAGTTTGTCCTTGTTGCTCCTCACGTCGGCTATAGTGACATAGCCACCGGAGTCAGCATTCACTTGGTTCTGAACCAGATTTTTCGTCACATTCTTCCTTCCAGGAAGCACACCTCGAAGTTTCCCCAGAACTCCACTCAATGGACTGATCTTAGAGAGCCCAACAGCGATTTTATCAGTTGTTGACGTAGATAAAAGCTGGACAGTAGCATAAAGATCTTGTCCGTTGATCACTTCCACCTTGGAGGTTCCGACAGTGGCAGATATAAGTACCGATCCTCCAGTTTGTCTGCTGTCAGTCTTTTTGCTTGAGTGTTCTGCTTCCCTGGCGTGTTCATCATCGGAACCCGGTGGCGTAATGACACACATTGATGGTATACGGCTGCTGTTGATAGCAATTTTCGAACGTATTCTCTCGATTCTCTCACAGCCCTCAAGGTCACTGGATTCAGAGTACTCGAATTCCGAGTAAGATCTACCTGTGCAAACTGGACTTGACGTAGACTCTACAGGCGATGATGACGTGTTATGTCCACTGTCAGGAGACTCACCTCCGGTTTCATTTTGACCGTGCACCTAAGGAAAGGAAAGGTTAGCTTAGACTTGGCGCACGACCACCCCTCGCGCTGCCCGCGGGGCTGCCTGGGCCGAGGTGGTGGTGCTGGGGGTACTACCCCTGTCGTGGCCAGCCCGAAGAAGACAGCGTCGAGTGGTGACCATTAGACGTTCTAGGCAGGTGGAGGCGGGACGGCAAAATAGTCGTCCTAGGGGAGAGGGGGCGACTGCAGTCTCCCCCAGAGAAGAGCCCCTACCTCATTTGAGGGGTGGGGGCAAGGACGAGGCTGGTCGCGGTAGTGTGCTTCGGCGTTCCCGTGGCCAGCACTCACACCCGAGAGGGTCACCGGGGGGTTTTTAGTGGGTAAAAATCCCACATAGGCCGTCTCCGCCCCCAGCGGAGGCGGTACACCTATTGGAGGTTTTCCCCGCGTTAAAAACAAAAAAAAGGATTTGGTGCAGACAGTATAATGTAATCGTGAAGTCGACAGGGTCTAAAAAACTAATAAAATGTAAAACGTGTTACTTAAGCTCATACGAACTATCTGAATTTTGGTTAAGATCAATGTTTTCAATGTTTCAATTAGACGTTGATGGTTACATAAATGCAAAAAAAGAACTCTCACGCTGCAAATGTTGTTTTACTGACAAGGTGAGGCCTGGATATGTCACACCTCGATTTGAATGTGCTTGTGCAGGGTTATAGGTATACATGTAGGGAATTTGTTAAAGGAAAAATGCACCCACCTTGAGCAATTCAAATCAGTCTTTATTATTAGAATCCTCGGATGATTGCACACCATACTCGCACGAGCGGAGAAGAAGGAGGAGCAGGACACCCAACGGCGTGTAACGTGGCATCGGCTTTTGTTTTCCCGATGTCCTCCAAATTGGGTCGAAACGTACAGAACGCTGGCGGAGCTTCTCCCCCCTCTCACTCTGTCTCTCTTGCGCGCACGGTACGCGAATGTGGCTGTCGTCACATACATGTATGGAAAGCATTCATAGAACATGCGCCGCATATAGCCATTCATTTTTGAGAAAACGGAGATCAAAGTTTGGGGAAACTGCCTATGCGGTTAATTGTCAGTGAGCGCTACTCTTTCCTAGTAGCATCATTAGCGGAGCAGCAGCATACTGGATTAGCATCTTTTTGACCCGGGTTGTACTCTCGGCGAACCTATTCTTTTTTTTCGCAAATACAAAAATATAAACCTTTAATATTATTATTATAAACACGTATATGTATTGTTAAATAAATTTACGCAAAATAATTTTTTCCATTGTTAATATAGCAACTTAATAGTGACAACGAATGTATGTACAGGGTGTAACAAAAATGTTGCTCGTCCCTGAAGTGACGGCTGAGTCTGCAGGCGGAGTTCCCGCGGTAGCGTTGGCTACGCGCCGCGCTTGTACTACGAAGTTTCGAACAAGCAAGTCGGCATACATCGCAGGAAACTGCGTATAATAGAAAATAAAAAAGACGTGACAAATTAAATCATACTTTTTATCATCTTTCATTTGTTATTTAAAGAGATTAATGAATGAAGTGTAAATGTAGGAAAATTATGTGTGACGTAAAAAGACGAATGCACACTTACTTTTTTGAACAGAACGGCAACTAACAATTATTTGAAGAGAGAGGCTAAGGAATTTTAAAATTTTGTTTTTACATAACGTATGAATGAAAAGGTAATGTAACAAAAAACGAACGAGAGGTGATCGTAGTTCGTTATTGAAATATAAATTCGTAGTTTAATAATACACAACAATGTTACTGTTAATGAATGAGTCTTTTCAAAAGACCCGAAGAGAAATTTAGGTAAAGTAACTTACAGAATTATCGCCAGAAATAAGTCATAGTTGCGTTAAATTAAACAAATAATAATCAACAATAAATTGTTTAGTACTCACCCTTTCGGAAAAGCACGTGCAGTTTGCAAACCTATGTCACTAGGTCACTGGACCGATCCTGGTCATCGACGGACGAAACAATTTATGGTAGGGTAGTGCCCAGTACGCAGGTAATTCCAGGTATACGACACTAGCCGAAGTTAAGAGTTGTAACGTCAAGTCAGTAAAGTGAATACGTATTCGATGTAATCACCCGGACGCACTTGACGTTACAACCTTTAACTTCGGCTGGTGAGGTATACCTGCGATCACCTGCGGATTGGGCGATACCCTGCCATAAACCATTTCGGTCGTCGATGACCAGGATCGATACAGTGACCTACTGACACGGGTCTGCAAGCTGCAGGTGAATTTCCGGAAGAGTGAGTTCTATTCAATTTATTGTTGCTTATTATTTTTTTAATTTAACGCAAGCTATGGCTTATTTCCGGCGATAATTCTGCAAGTCTCTATACCTAACTTTTTCTTCGGGCTTTTTGAAGAAATTTATTCTTTATCAGTAACATTGTTGACCGTTATTAAACTACGAATTTTTATACCAATACCGAACTACGATCACTTCTCGTTTATTCTCTGTTACATTACCTTTTCTTTCACACGTTATTTGAAAGAAAGTTTACAAATTCGTAAAAAGGAATTTACAACAAAGTAAATGTGCATTCGTCTTTTTACGTTACACATAATTTGCCTACATTTACGTTTCATTCATTAATCTCTTTAAATAACACACGGCAGATGATAAAAGATATGATTTTATTTGTTACGTCTTTTTTATTTGCTATTATACGCAGTTTCCTGCGATGCATGCTGACCTACTTGTTTGGAGCTTCGTAGTACAAGCGTAGCGCGTAACCACCGCTAGCGCAGGAACTCTCGGCTGGCAAACTCGCGCTCTGATTGGTCGCGGTTTTTCGTTAATATCTCGACATCTTGATTTTCTCGCTTTTGTTACTCGTAGCAAAAAATGTTTCAGCGGAGTCTTGAATGGTATCGAGTGGAGCATATTCTGATGTTATTAGTTTTTTCGTGAGTAGACGCGTAGAGGTCATATAAAGGTCAATTTTGTTTTTTTAAATGGAATGAGGTATTTTTTAATACATCAATCGATACAGCTGGACGTTCGTTATGAAAAAGTACAAATCTATGTATGTGGAAAAGTTAGTAATTCAGGAGATATTTCAATTAAAATAATTCTAAAATACGTGCAAAAAAAATAGATCCACCATGACTTGAATCCGGGTAAAAAAAGTGGTAGTCGAGTTTGTTACCACTTTGCCACCGGTGCTATTGACACAGGGTAGCGGTCACTGGTACTTATGCGTATAGGCAGTTTTCATAAACTTTTACCCTTGCCTTCTCAAAAAAGAATGGTCGTATGCGGCTAATGTCCTACCATTGTTTTCCATACATGTATACCTACAACCCTACACAAGCACATTGAAATCGGAGAGAGACAGATATGAGCCTCCCCTTGTGAGTGTTGAGTTTTTTTGTACCCATCAGAACACTATTCGATTGCGTACTTTTATACCAATGGGAATCGTTAGTTTCACGAATTATGTCATGAAATACCGGTGGCATATTCTGTATACTTTATACAGTCAACAAATGCAATACAAGAAATTCAATGTTTTTCAACCCTCAAAAAGAGAAAGAGCTCTCGAAACCATAACTGATTCTCACCGATTACATACCAAGACGCCTTAATGAGAAGTCCACAAAAAGATAAACCCTTACCATAGCCACAACAGTCAGGCTAGACTTTCTTTCCGGCGGCAATGGCGCCAACAAGGCAGTACAGACTGTCCCAGCAGAACTCGTTGTCGTCGAAGTAGAACCTCTACCAAACAGTTCATACTCGTTTTCTACAACCGGCGAAGTCAGATCAGAGCTGACATCGTTGGTTTTCGTCAAGGGGCACTGTGGCACCGGATCTTCTTCTCTTAGAGTTTTTAAACCAGAATCCACGTGAAATGAGGTATAATATCCTTCCGCATCGCAAGAATACACAGATGATGTTTCTCCGTCATCGGAAACAGGTACCACCGCAATGTCTTGAATAATATCTGGAGTGAGCGTGCCTTCTGATGTTATAGAAGACGAAGCCGAAGTGTCTCGTCCCTTGAATCGTCGAAAATGACTCAAAGAAGTCGAAGACGTTCCGATTGAGCCTGTGGTTATAGACCTATACAACATGTTTCATTGTTAAATTTTACAAAAATAGTGGTTCCTTATATTATGCTTAGGCGTCTTTGAAAATTGAGATAAAAACGGGAAAGTCCAAGTTAAGACACTTAATATTACATGCGTACAGAGTGTCTCAGCTAACTCGATCATCTCAAATAATGACTTAACGGTACACTTTATGAACATTTTGATGCGTGGAACTTATATGGCATCATGAGGCCCATGTTATAAGGTACGTGCTTTTTTGTGGGTGGAGGAATTTCAAAAATTTCAAGGTCACCTTGATTTTTTTAACGGAATATTTTGTGTACCATAGGTCGATAAAGTAACAAATTCTGAGTAAAAATGTGTTGACGTTCATACGTCCTAAGCCTAATAATGATAGTCAATGAGATATTTACAAAATAATCATCGTATTGAAATCGCTGTATTGAAGTTGAGGGGCATCAGTTCAAGTTTCCAGATAGTAAGTACATATTAAAAATTAGTTTGTAAAGATCTCGATAGCAATTAGGTTGAGGACATATGAAAATCCAGATATTTTTACTCAGAATTTGATACTCTATCGATCTATGGTACAAAAAATAGGTCATTCCGTTAATTAACCCAGCAGGTGCATGCGTTAGCAATCCCCTGCGCCGGTTAGAGTACCTGTTCATTATACTTCAGTATACAGTAATGTTCTGATAAGTATGAATGCCTCGGTTCCACGGAGTAACACGCTGAGCGCGGACAGTTGTCAGCACCTCGTCAATCAGTTTTTTGCTCGAAAGTACTAGGCTTACGGTGACTTCCATCCGACGATTTATTTGTTTTCAAACTACATTCGTTTAAACACGCGGATTATCCTACGACCACGCGCGTGTTATTTTCGGAAATCGCGAAACTATACGATCCGCTTGGTTGGTTATCACCGGTCATCGTTTCATTCGTGACTAGATAAGATCGGTTGGGACGACGCGGTGTCGGAGGAGACGTACAAAAAATGGGCCGCGTTTTGTAACGAATGGTTAGTGTTACACGAACTGAGGATTCCGCGTTGGGTGGCGTACGGTGCGGATGCACTTCGCACTGAATTGCACGGTTTCTGCGATGCTTCCCTTTCCGCGTATTCTTGTGCAGCTTATTTACGCGTCACTAGCTACAGTGAAGTCACAGATACTACGCTACTCATGGCGAAAACTCGTGTCGCGCCGATAAAAACTTTGACGATTCCGATCCTCGAGTTAAGCGGCGCGCTGTTGCTCGCGGAGTACGTATCCCATATAAACAATTCGTTGCCGATAAAAATTGATCGTGTCCTCTGTTGGTCAGATTCGACAATCGTGCTATCGTGGCTACGAAAACATCCGTCAATGTGGGAAATCGTGGTTGCGAACCGCGTATCGAAGATACAAAGCACCCTCCTCTCCGTGGAGTGGAGACACGTTTCGACCAAAGAAAACCCCGCAGATCTTAACTCGCGCGGTACGACGCATGAGAACTCGTGTCTTCGCCATTGTAGATTAAAGGTGCAGTGTGGCTTCAATAAAAAGAAGAACGTTGGCCTGTACAAAAAATCCCACTCGAGATACAAGAATACCGACGTGTCGTAACCGTGCACGTGAGTCGGGTAGGGGAAGAATGGAGAGTTTTTATGCAATTTTCATGGTGGCTTAGATTATTCCGCGTAATCGTGTACATCTTAAAGTTCGCTACGAAGGCGCGAAAATCTCGTCTAACGGACAATTCAGGGCTTTCTACAGCGGATACACAAGAAACGATAAATTGTATTGCGCGGTATCTGCAACTGCGAAATTACCTAGACGAATATAATGCCCTGAAAAAGGGCCAAGTCATTTCGTCTAAGTCTTCCATCTTAAAACTCAACCCGTTTCTGGATAAGAACGGAGTAATGAGGGTGGGGGAAGACTAAAATACTCCTATCTGCAGTGGGAAACTTAATGGAACCAAGGATGAAGAGACTTAGGAAACGTATCTTGGAAGAAGAAGATATACCAGATATAAGTGTATCAGGGATCGCAGCATTTGCCAGGGATGTGGACAAATGTAGACCATTCGTGGAGGAGAAAGAAGAAGAGGAAAGTTGGTGAGGGAAATAAGAAAAAGGGAGAGTTTTGATAAGAAAAGGTATGGGTTATATATAGTATAAGTAAGTAAGTAAATAAACAGATATGGGAGGGTAAGAATCAGAGGGAGGGAAAAATGGGAAGGAGATACACTATTTGTTTGCTTTCAGGAATTTAAGGAATGTAGGGAATGAATCGTAATACCATTATACAATGAATGATCAATACAACATATCAATAAAATAACAAAATCGATGGAATTCAGAGGATAAACAAGGACTGGAATTGAAGATGGGAAATAAAAACATAATATAAATCTAATTAAATAAGAAAAGGAATGTATAATAATAATGAAGTTAGTAGAGAGTGAAGGAGGATAGGACCACTATGTAAACTAAAAAAAAAATAAAATAAACTAGGAGGAATTATATGATTAAAAGGACTGTTTCTTTTAATGACCTACGCCCGTTAACCTTAAGAAATAGAAAACTAGTAAGAAGGGATATTGGCGGGAAACGAAGAAAATATAATAAAAACACATCAGGATTGGGAGGTATATGGGGAGAGAACATGCTTTTATTATAAATAAGAGAATAGATATAAGGAAAATAGGAATAGGATAGTAGTAAGTGAGTTAATAGGAATATAGAGTCGGGAACCGAAAGAACAATACAAAGAGGGCACTGGATAAGAAGACAGGATAGGACTAAGGGGCCAAAAGAAGAAGAAAAAAATAGGTTGTACCGGTAAATAGAAAAAAGACAAGAAAAGGGAAGAAAAGAAAAGAAAAGAGAATAAAAGAAAAATCAGGAATGTCAAAATAAATTAAGGATAGGAGGAATCCTACCTCGATAAAGGAGGGTACATAGGGATATGAATTGGGAGTGTTACACGAAGGGCTAGGGCAAGCCTTAGAGTGAAAACACGAAGACCATTCGTGAAGAGAATGGATGAAGAGTTGGGAGGATCGGTGACTCCGTATACTCGGCCCCACATTATTCTCTCAATCCTCCCCAGACTCGGGTGAACTGGAAGTTAATAAGCCATGAGTTCGCTAGATGATGGGATAGGATACCCTAGGATTCGCTCCATCTTGTATAAGTATTTTAAAATAAGGACTCGGGCTTGTCTAAGGTGGTAAGATGGGATACGAATTGGGAGTGATAAGGGAACCCGGCATGTGATTGCTGGGAGTCCGAGTCACGTAGTCCATTCGTGAAGGGATAGTGTATAGGACAAGATAGATGGAGAACCCTGTCGAATCCAGGCACAGAAATACCTCTCAGCCCCCCCCCCCAAACCCCGGGAAAAGGTTAGCTTTCGGGGAGCACTTTTTCATGAGTGAGAGGGTGGCAAACTATCGAATCCATGAAGGACGCGAAATGGGAGGGTACTGAGACATGGGCATGAGATTTGACCTAAGTTCGGGACCCGTAGACCGCTGCAGTGAGTTATCGGAGGTGGTTGCTCTTAGGCAACACACCTGCCACAATATTCCCCACAGTCCTCAGGTTAAGCAAGTATATCGAAGTCGGACATTGTTGCTGGCATCGATCGGGCTACGGCCCGGGCTTGTAACACGGCTATAGGAGCGCAGTTCTGTAGACCGGCACGGCCTTTGATATTGCGCGGTGAGAGAATGTACCGAAGGACCCTGTATAAATACGTTCTCCATATGCGAACCTGACTAGATACATAAATCGCATAAAGAATATGGTCCATAAAAAAGTTTGAATACTTCTCCAGCATCCATAATAAACGTACAATTCATACACATAACGAAAAAAAAACAAACGAATTGTGATTTTCTGAAGTATTAATGCGTCTTGTACGTACTATAAATTAGGTAAGGAACGAAACTGTTATCAAATTGCTAAGTGCAAAGGAACGCAGTCTTGTAAACTACAAGTCTGATATTAAAACTTTCACTCACATAAATACTTTCTTTCGGTAAATATTACAATAATTTTTGCATGCTTAAAAGTTTGATAACAATTTTGTTTTTTACCCCAATTCACTATGCGTAAAATAGACATTAATATGCATGAAAAATGTAATCGTGTGTGTATTTTTGGTAGATATATAGAATATTCGGCCACTAGTGTCAGAACCTGTAAAGGGTGATACCACATTCCAAAATAAAAAGAAAATCAAGTATGACGAAATTATGTTGGGGCTTTGTTCGCGATTTATCAATTGTTACACTATGTAGTAGAATATAGTAAAAACAAGAATATATTATTACGCTATGTTATTGTTCGAAATGATTGTGTAATGTCAGTGTATCATTCGAACATTGATGAAGCCAGCTATGATACTGGCGAAATATATGTATTACTTCTCCAGAAGATACGATTGACACTTGAAAGGCTAAACAGTAACATCTATATAAATGTGAGTTGTAAAAGTCCCATACAGGTCAGGTATCATCATTCTTAACGTTTTGGTTCCCTTAGTTATGGTGTCAAAGTGTTGGAAACTTAATTTACTCGCAAGTAAATTACTTTAGCATCCATACCTAGGCTGATGCGTCGTGCAAGTCGTCTCGCTTCCAATACTCGCCCTCCCGCTTTCTGAAGATGCGCTCCAATTTCCTGAACTAGAATGTGGAGGATCGTCACGACTTCCTGCTTTTCGTCTTTCTCGCCTTTGAACAGCACTCACGCGCAATGTCACGTTCGATTGTCTCTCTTTGGCCGAAACAGACAGCGGTATGCTCGAAACACTCTTCCCGCTTAAGCTCGACGTGCTGGGCTTCCTCTCATTAGACTTGTCCCGCCTGTGCCTGCTTATTACCATTTCATAAATATTTGCCTCTTTTAATAATCTCGACAGACCTCGATCAGGTTCTGACCTCTCCGTTGTACTTGATGCAGGTGTTTCAGATTTTTCCTGCTGCTGGTTAGACCTAGGGCTGATCAACTTTAACCTGGACATGCCCCACGCTTTCAAAGTATTGAAATGTGATTTTTTCACCGTTGGTGATTCCTTTTTCGACGAACCCAACATATACGTGCTTGCTGATCGTTGTGTTTTAGATGCTATGTTCGCTATAATTTCGTTAGCGTCTTCGTCAGGTGTTTCTCTGCAACCAAAAATAAAAATGAATGTATGTGGAATGCGAGACAATTGGAACACAGGAAGATGTGAATAGTGGTCGCAAAATGAAAAAGACTTGAAGAAGTGAAACGTGAATGAGATTTTAGGCTAAGGCGGAAGGGTTTCGCGTAACGCTTTAGAGAGGATTTCGGGTGGTTAGAATTTTAGGAATGCACGCGCAGTCCGACAGCGAAGGGTGCAAAGTTTCAGTCTGTCTGCATGGTTTAGGGAAGAACTGCATGACTTCAACTCTCGGAGACTGTCTCCAACTCCTGGGATACCCCCAAACGCAGCTCATGCTGCTTCTCTCGCTGCGCACGGAAAGTCGCATGCTAGGAGAGAAGTCTTCCTACCACGACGTTAGAAATAGCCTTTTCATTAACTGTCGACCGTAACAGCACGAAACAGAGGATCACGCAGACATTTTTTTCTATTAGAAATTCTATTATGCCTCACGTATAATGAAGAAGACCTTCACAAACTTCATTAAATATTTTTCTGCCACTTAACGCCATTTAAGTTCTACGCATCAAAATGTTCATAAAGTGTACCTTTAATCATTATTCGAAGTGATTAAGTTAAATGAGAAACCATGTATATACAGGGTGTAACAAAAATGTTGGAGGATCCGGAAATGGGAAACTCGTGAGGTCATTTGTAACAAGTTTCTCCTTAACAAAAATGTTATCCGAGCCTTTGTTAACGAGATATTAACGAAAAACCCGGACCAATGGGACCAAAAAGGACGCAGCACCGAGGCGAAACCTTCGCCAATTACCTCCACCAGAAGGTAATCCTGGCGAATCGTATCTCCATAGTCGAGGAGGAATTCATCGACTGCGTCATCGATGGGATACCCGATCCCGTTCTTCAGGACTAGGCGCGCCTCCAAAGGTTCAGGACGAACGCCGATCTGCTGGAAGTCTTCGGCAGAATCACGCTCAGGTCGAAAGCAGCCAGTGCGACATTCAAGGGAGGAGAGCCGGCACCGAGGCCCAGGGGCGACGGTTCGACGAGATCAACGACGGCAACGAGGAGATGCACCAATTGCTGCGATCGCGGACATCCCACACCGAAATGCCCCGCGCAGGGCAGAGGTCGTAAGTGCTTTCAGTGTAATGAATATGGTCATATCTCATGCGATTATCGCGGAGTCAGCGGAGACCAAATATCGAAAAGATGTTCGCGTGAACGGATGCGGCGCGGTAGCCGTCCTTGACACGAGTAGCTATGTATCTCTGATTCGCAAAAACACATACCTCGACATGGGGGCACCGCCGTTAACAAACGAAAAAATACGTCTCCGCGGAATAGGCTCGCAAGAATATCGAACTCTCGGAAAGTTTGACGCGAAGATCGTAATCGACGATGAGATACGCGAAGCTACGTTACACGTCGTGGAATACGCAGTTTTAAATTACGGAGTTTTACTAGGCTATTATTTTATAAACACCGCGGAATGGACAGTAAAAGACGGAACGATGATGTTAGCGAAACGGTCAAACGCGCACGAGTCCGCGGCGGCGATCAGCTGCGCCAACGATGGACTAGGAGACGCAACTTCCAAGGTGATCGTTTTTCCTGTAAGAGTCTTAACGAAAATTTGCAAATTGAATACAGACTTTAAAGATTCTAGGTTAATTCCTTACAGTTCTACAAAAAAACATTAAAGTGAGATTTCTATTTACTCTACGAAACATACTTTTATTAAAAATTTTCCATTGTGATGTGTGAACATGTCGATATCCAACAGGTCACAAACGTGATCCCCAGGTTATAGACATTCCTGTGTTTCAATAATTTCATTTCAAGAATATTTTAAAGTTATAATATTGTGCAATCAAACATCGACGACTTAGGAATGATGTTGAAATAACACCAGCAATAATCTTGGGCTGTCTTCCAATATCACTGTGCATGAGTTTTCAATCTTTGGGATAACCTGCGTCATGTTGTATAGGCCGTAAAAATGAGCCATATTTTCTTATGTCATATTTCGGTAAAGATGCATTGTACTCATATACTTATTCTTAAGACGTTTCATTTCATATGAAACATTACCAACGGTAATCTACAGTAATGTGGTGCGGCATAACATTTTAGATCATTTTATCTGAACCACATACCATCCCACTTTAGTAACATTTTGTGCCTTCAGTAATAAAGAGAAAGTATGATTTGAATGTTCATGATTAATGAAATGCCACTATATGTTGAACTCACCCTCTAATCGCCTGGCGAATTTCCTTATTATCGATACCAGCGATTGTATTTCGTCTTTTTCCTCTAGACCTATGAGGCCGCGACCGTCTTTTTACAGCTGTTTCTTGACTCTCTTGTCCGGACAACAATGATTTCCTTCTCACTGACATCCTTGCAAATCCTTTTCCACTGATGTCCACTGCTACAATTTCTGCCGGGAATCTGCAAAAATATCATATTTTCAATACACGAATCCGAAATAACAATGCAAATTTAAATATAGAAGTTCCTTAATTAATCCCATATAACCCAGAAATGTGCAACACTGAAACCACTGTTATTTCCTTCATTGCGATACGATGTCCTTATTAGTATTTGTAAGTAAAAGGAAACTTGGTAGCTAAGAATGGTGAACTTTTTAAACCTGTTAAATCGCAAAGACTATCTGCCTGTGTCAACCAGTTAGATGGAGAATATGTCTTTTCATTTCGAAGGCGGAAAGAGTGATGGAATGGTTATAAAGATTTCGTCTTTAAGTTATAAGAAATTAATACTTTAGGCCAAGAACACCTGAAACTAAACAACTTCTCCATAACCAAATAACATTGCGCACTTCAGTCGCGACGTGTACATTGGCGTCAGTTGGAACATAATACACTCTTACCTCGTAGCCAACATAAAACACCTGCTTATAACACCCCATTTAAATCCACAAGGGCAAATGACAAATAAACGAAACAAATATTAAAGCTAGACAAGTTAAACTAATGGTAAGCTAAAACTAATTATGATAAATTAAGTCATCACTGTAATAAGTCGATTATAATCTGTTTATCTAAAGACGAGATCCGAGGTAGACAATACCTAATTTGCGGTGTTGCCACATTAACGGTACGTCATTGGTGATTGTCACTAAATTGAGGACACGTTAGTGAATCTTATGCCGAAGAGAGAAGAGTAACGAAAAGGTGGAAGGTGGGGTGGAAACAGGAGAGTATACGAAATGTTTGCTAGTGACTATAGCATATTAAAGACAAGTGAATACGAGGTGGTCGAATAGCGAAGAATAACACGTGATGTGAGACACTCTGGACTGCGTTTGCGAATATTGGGCAGGTCTTGGTGTTGTAGCAACGGACTAACAATGATCAACAGTGCGGACAACGTCCTGGATTTGAAAATATTGCAATGTTACATGGCGTAAATACAAGAACGGGAATAGAATGCGAAACTGACGCGTTGTGGGATAAAACAAACGATGCCAAATCATTTACCGGGATTTTGATATATAGAAACGGAGATTTAATTTTTTGGAAAAATAAGAAACAAACAATCGTGGCTTTGTCTTCGACAGAAAGCGAGCTGGAAGCTATGATTAAAGGTGTGAAGGAAGTAGTGTGGACAGATAGATTGTTGAAAGAATTTAGAGTAGAAAAAGAAATAAGAAGAGAGATTAGATGCGGTAGTTTAAATGCGGTAAAGTTAACGAATGGGAGTAATTTTAAAACTAAGTCCAAGTTATTGAATAGATGTTATTTTATTAAAGAACCCGTAAAGAAAGAAAACTTGCAAATAGTACATGTTCTAGACTGTTTAACGAAAGCCTTAAGCGGTCCGAATTTGTTCAGAAATGTTAGAGATTTTTTAGTTGGAAAGAACCAATAAAATTAAGAGGGGTGAATATAGGTTTATTTTTATTAGTTATTATATAAGTTCTAGAAGAAGTTTTTGCTACAGTTATCAAAGAAGAAGAAATAGGGATTGTTTTAGTTTTTCAAAGAAGAAGGTTGGTAATGTGGAGGAGTTGGCAAGTGTGGCGAGTGCCGGCAAGGAGGGAGGTATGTACTGCGCACGAGGGAATGCGTATCAACCATGTGACTGATTTTATTTCTTTATTTGTACGCGAAGTTATTTCGTAGTTTATCATTACTAAATATATGTTCGAACAAGGTGAGTTGATAAGATTTGTGTCCATGTTCCACCACATTTCTAATACCTACATTTTCTATTTGAACTTTTTGGTCTGAAATCACTATGTTTTCTTCTGTACATGAAAAACTTGTTTTTCATAACATTACAAACTTTTTAACAATGTTCCCCAACAATTTAGTAGTTTGAAACGTAGTATATATTTCATTTCTAATAAGGTTCCGAAACAGTTCGATCAAAACACAAGTAATTACAATTATTTTTTAAAATGAGGGCTTTGACGTCTAATTCGACTGGTCTACATTGAGTACATCTACCGCCGCTGTGCGTTTTTTGAAACTATTTCACTTCTCAATTGAAAACAGAACATAATTTTGTTGATCTTTTCCTAGAGTTTCTTCTAGACCCTTAGTATGTGAAATAAATTGAAAAATATCAGCAACAGTTGGTGCGTTTTGAAGGCTCTTCTCACTATGATCATTATTTAAGCATAAATATTCTTAAAAATATTAGATAATATTTAGATGCACTCCGCAAAAAAATTAAGGGATGATCTCTACGAAAATTTACTGACTGGAAAATAGGACCAAGTTCAAATGGTCATAGCTCTGACAAAAAAGGTAGTATCGATATCATTATAAACTCGTTTGAGAATGTGGAATCTCTACTTTCAGCTGCTTTTTCAAGATTTTGGCTGTGTTGCTTTTTGGCAAAATTAGAGTGGCACTTCAAAAATTGTTTTTAATTTTGTTCTACCTTGCAATGTTACATGGCGTAAATAGAACTTTGTATACCAGTTACATCTACACCAATCGAAAGTGACTACTTTCCTGTATAAAATGAGTGTTCGCTGATTGTTGTGCGACTTTTTTTGGCCAAGTTCTTCCATTTTGAAGCAAATTTATCCTTTTGACTTTAATTGCTTCTAGGAAGCGAAAAAATCATTTCTAGAACATTCAATAAAAAAGCAATAAAGAGTCTTTAATTCATACGATGCAATAATCAGTCTTTTCTCGTGATGACGCATGTCTGTTTTTCGATTTGATTAACATTTCAATGTACCAGGTCTTTCTGAAAATAGGCTCAAAAATTGCATAAATTCCATTGTTTCTTTAAATCGCTGTACCTCGACATAAAATGACCGCAACATCATTTAGCTGTTTTAAAAACGGAGGGTCTGTCGATATGATGAATCTGCAGACGAACCCGCGGAGACAATTGTTTACCTATGGCCGCTATGTAGAACATTACCGATTCACACAAAATAATGCTACAGCGTTAATTTGTCGCACTGTCGACGGCATCATAAATATCCTCCTTACTTGAGAGCGATTGCCTGAACCTGTTCTTCAGGGCTGGGAAGCTGGTGATCTACGGCGTTGTCGTCCATCGTAACTCCTAGGATCCTGGACATACAATCTGGTTGTACAATGACGTCCCCGAGCGCCTCCGCGGATGTCCATCTTCGTAGATCCTCAATAATCGCCGGCTGCAATTAAGAATATATACGCATGAAGTAGAGCACTGCTAATATTGTAGTAGGTACTGCCAAATCGCTTCCATTTTACAGAAACATGACGCTGCGGTAAAAACCGACCGACGTCTTTTACACACTGTGGTGCGACGCGTAAGCATGATCGTTAGCATCATCATTCTCCTCTGTTTTTGTGAGCTTCAACTATTACGGATAAGGTGAAAATAGATCGAATGCATTAAAATTAATAATACTCCGCCTTTGTGCCCCCAGTACCCAGGATAGTAACGGTTTTACTGCTCTGATTTCAGTGTGTATACGTTACAATGAAATTGTTGGATGGAATAAATAGTTAATGAAATATTTCACGCTTTCTCCAATTACTTACGATTCTAGATTCGATGTCAAGACTTTGGTCCCGTCTCCTTTTGTTAAGAACGTGCGGGCAAATATATACATCCATGGAACTGTCATCCCTTCTCACGCTGTCTAATTGCTTGGCAGTGACTATAGCTGCGGCTTCATATAACTCCCGCAGGGCTTTTGGTCTAGTGTTCAACGTGAATGACGCCGTCGATGGTTTGTTGACCACGTGGAAATGTTCCGTTCTCGCGGCGAATGTACAAATGTCCGACTCCGCTGTAATAAAATAAGCAGTACTTGTTACTATTCGACACGCCAATTTTCTGTCTTATAATGCCCATTTATAAGCAGAAATTTCTTTTACGGATATACATATGTGTAATAGAGCAGGCGGAACATCTATTTGTAAGCGGTAAAACACAGAAGTAATCTTCGACATGGTAAATTTACGTCGCAAGTAAATAAATACGTGCCCGAGCGTTTTTTACAAAAAACCCTAATAATCGAAATTTTGACGTTTAAAATTGATAACATCCCATAACAGTATTGAAACACAGTTTGTATGTCGAGGTTTCAACCAACATTGCTCGTATTGTTTCTGTCTCTTTTTCGAAATGTTAAACAGATAAAAACTATACGGGCCTATTAGTTAAAACACTAACGTGTGAAAAGCATTTCATACGTTGAGTGTGGCCAATGGATCGACGGGCTGTGTACTGGTGGTCGGACGATATAGCCGCCGTGCTGAAGATCAAGAAGCAGAGAAGCAGAGCTATACCAAGCCTACCGGCAGGCCTTGGCTACAGCTCTGGCGGCCATTAAAAAGGCCAAAGCCAGCGCCTGGGATGAGCTCCTCAGCCCTCTGGACCGTGACCCTTGGGGTTGCCCGCACTGGATAGTACGGAGAGCTTGGACCCTCCAGTGCTCGAGCGAGTTGTGGACACACTTTTTTCAGATGATCCGGAAGAGCCACAACCGCTTGAGCCGCCCGACCCAACTCAGTGGTCGGACACCCGGAAGGTCACACAGGAGGAGCTCAATGCCGCCATTGAGCGCATCGGGGCACATAAAGCCCCGGGCCCTGACGGCATTCCCGGGCGCGTAGTGGTAAAACCCTTGCGCATCCTCGGGCCCCGATTGAGATGGCTGCTAGACAGCTGCCTACAGTCAGGGAGGTGGCCACTTCCATGGAAACGGGCGCGACTAGTCCCCGTCCCCAAGAATGAAAAACCCGCAGGGTCGCCCTCTGCGTACCGGCCGATATGTCTGCTTGACGAGATCGAGAAGGTGTTCGAGCGTGTGCTCGCCTCTCGCCTCGCGGCAGACCTACCCAGCGGTCAGCACGGCCTGGCAGACTGCCCGTACGGGTTCTGCGATGGACGATCGACGCTTGATGCGATTGATCGTGCCAAGTCCATCGTGGGCCCGGCCGTCGCCCAGGGTGGGATGGCGTTGGCGGTTAGTTTAGACATCGCCAAGCGATTCTAGATTCGAGCATCGATCCTAACGAGGGAGGATCAGTTCAACAATATCAGTTGTCCTTTCCGAACGGTGTCCTTTGCATTCTACGAGCAAATAGAGTTCATGTTCGGAAAACTAAGCAATTTTTTTTCGTGCCCGTTTTCACTCTGAAGGGGTAAAATCAACCATTAAAGTTTTCGCGTGTTTTCATTCTCTTGATATAATTTTGTAACGGTACGAGATAGAGCAAAACTGTAAATACAGAAATTGTTCAGTTCTTTATGATCTCACACGCTACCGAAAGAAACTTTTTCTATGATGTGCATTTATAAACACAATGATTCCTTTGTTATTTTATATATAAATTCTTAACCGTAAGAGATAAAGCTAGTTATTGCATGCAAAAAATGTGCATTTATCAATGGTTTATTGAATTATGAAAGCATATAATTTTTATAAATTTTCGATTTGCAAAAACAATTTTCCACTTTTGCACTTATATGCATTTGCAATAATATGCATGTAAGGAAAGTACATGGCACTTTCCTAACATCATTACAAACATCCCGCGTAATAGCGAAGGTCGGTAAGCCTGACATCTATAGGCAGAACAGAAAAGAAAGAATGACGAGTGATGAGGAGAGACACGTGGGAAAAACAAGAGCATAACCAAAGAAATCATAATTATAAGGGATTATACAACAGAGTGGATAATAAACATTGAATGTTGTTTCCTTAGTTCACAGAGAAACAATTCAGTTTATTTATTTACAACCATCCCTAAAAAAGAAAGAACATTATATGCATATATGTGATATCTGTGTCAGTCATATTTTGTAACTTACAGAAAGTTTTACATGTGCGATTATATTAACCGACTTATATAATAAGTAGCAAAAAATAAACAGGTTCGGAGATTGATTTCAGTGTTATCGCGACGGCATGATCAATTACCATTACGATTAATAGCATTGAAAATTCGGTTTGGCATGCTATTACTCAAATTCTAAAGCGTCTCCACAAATAATTCGAACCATGCCAACAGTATTGACGACTTCAGATCATCTGGTATTTGGTACACATTCATTCATTGATGCATGGACCAGCAGATTTCAGTGTTAACAATCACTTTGGATCGTCAATGACGCAGAAAAATCGTATTCGGCTTCGACGACATCGCTCGTTACACTGTTGCAGCGCGATCGTTGATTATTTTTTTAATACAAAATGAATATAAACATGACACCTTACACACATGTCTGTTAACACACACTCCCATTAGTGTCAAGTAAAGACAAAAGGGAACGAAAAACGTGGGTGCCTTATAAACCCGACGAGGGTAAAAATTACAAATACAGTGTTAATTAAAACATTAAAGTTAGCAACATGCACTTTTTAACAAAAGCACCGTTTCTATTGATAATTTGACAAATCGCAATGTGTGTATGTACCAGAAATACATGGAAGATAATTGTTGGGGCCACGTGCTTGGATCTACGGCGCGTCCAAGAACCAGTCTGGATACGATGGTCGAGGAGCTCGATGATGTGTGCGTAGTTACTTCTGTATGTCCACGGTCGGATATTCTTGGAACCCGGTGCCAATTTTCAATGTGAATAATATACATATATGTAGGAGATCTGATATCGCCGAGGAGCAACCCAGGCGTCTGGGGTAGGGATCGTCTACCGTCAGCCCCACTGACGAGTCTTGGTAAACGATTCCCGGGACGAAACGCCATCTTTTGGATCCGCCTAAACTAATTATTATTTTTTTAACCTAACGCAAGGTTTGACTTATTTCTGGTCATACTTCTGCAAGTTTCTGTACCTAAATTTTTCTTCGGGCTTTTTAAAGAAACTTATTCATTATCAGTAACATTGTTGCCCGTTACTGAATTACAGATTTTTATGTCAATAACGAGAAGAAAATTTACAAATTCATTAGTCTCTGTTTTCAAAGAATTATTATTTTCGATTCTGTTTAAAGGAATAATTGTGTATTCGTCTTTTTACGTTACACATGATTTTCTTACATTTATGTTTCATTCATTCATCACTTTAAATGACAAACGAAAGATGATCAAAAATTCGATTTGTAACGTTTTTCTTATTTGCTATTATACGCGGTTTCCTGGGATGCATGCCGATTTGCTTGTTCGGAGCTTCATAGTACATGCGTAACGCGTAGCCACCGCTAGCGCGGGAACTCGGCTGGCAACCTCGTGCTCTGATTCGTTCTCGATCTCGTTAACACAGCTTCGGATAACATTTTCGCTAAGGAAAAAGTTGTTTCAAATCATCCCATGAACCCCTCATTTCCGGGAAGAGAGACATTTTTGAAACACCCTGTATGTTCGAAGGAACAGTCAAGCGACAATGTCAACACGTGCGCTTCCCGTTCTTTAGCCGATGGTGGGCTGAAGCAGACAAAAAAATTTAAAAAGCCGCGTATCGATGTAATTCATATTACACTATCCAAAATTCTATGCTGCTTATTTATTCACGGTACATTACAGTCTAGGTGTGGGCGCAGCGAAGATGATACGCTAAGTATGCATGGGACAGCAATTAGTTGATAGTTCAAAATATATCTCGGCTGGGCGACGAATGAAAAGATTGAAAGAGCGTATGCTATTCATTGTGTTCTTTTTGCGTCCTTTTTATGAAATATATGTGTAAGTACAAATATAACACCTGCATCAATTATGTTAATAAATGATAAATGACTATTGTTTTACGGGAATGCCATTTCAAGTATTTCGTATGTAATTTTATTAATGAAAAAAAATTAGCATCATTGCAAGTACGAATAGAAAAGGTTTATCGTTGCACACATTAGTACGTAAATACTTTCATTCTCGAAGCTCTTTCGGTCGCGCCATTCTCTTCTTACGTTCAGCAAGCATCGAAATTTCGCCACGAGCCTTACAGGGGGCGGACACTTAAGTGGGAACGATTCTGACTGTGTTCTTGGCGCCCCCCAGGGGTCGGAAACTCCCCTCTACAAAAACTTTGGCTTTTACCGTAGCGCCACCACCCTTCTATCCTCCGCAATGGTACTAAAATCGATATATATATATGTATACACATGGCATATATGTGTATAGATCGCCCTACCGCCGAACAAGCCTATTCAGTCGGCGCTCCTTACGTAAATAAGAATCATTGTTATATAGTCCTTAATTGTATAGATCGGTTATAATAAACCAAGTCTGTAATACTTTCTCTCAATTTCTACCCGTACCGTATTAAAAATCTAATATAAATAGTAACTAAATCATTTGCGACACTCTGGTTACTGAATCCCTGATCGGAATAAATTACTCTCACTTTCAAGCCAGTCTCATACAGTAATCTAACATTTTGTTCAAAATAACAAACAAATCGGTTTTCTTAACGCCAGATCCAAATACAAAGAATGCCAATGGTTGTTTCCAATTAGTAAACATCCTGCGTAGCATAAAAACAAACAGTTGCGAACCCACGGATAAATTTCTACCCAAAAATCCAAGATCTACAAAACCTTCAATAACTTGCTTGCTTCGGTGGTAATCAAGACACTTTTTGATAGCTATTTCATTAAAAGACAGAACACAATTTCGATCTATACCTTCAACATGCTCAGATTTAATTATGAGCGCGGTGAATAAATTTGGACAGATTTCAGGCCAAATGTCCATTTTTCCGAATCACCGAATGATTGTGACAGGATCCGGTAGATGAAAACCCAAGACGTTGCATAATTTAATATACAAAGCTGGCTAAGTGCAATGCATGGTCATGTACAATTGTTGCTCACGGCGATTGTAACGA